TTTTTTTTTTAAAGGAGGCTTATGTCTTTGACTTTTTCATCCAGTGATAATTTATTATCAAGTATATAGATGGCAATTACCTGGCACACAATAGGCATTTTAAAATATTTGTTGAATAAATTAATGAATGAACCAATGATAGTGTTCCTGCCTAAAAAGGCCATTGTGAAACATACATGAAATAATTAACTTGATTTGCTTTGCAAGGAAAGGAATTAACACATAATGAGTACACGTTGATACTTATAGTCTACCAAGGAGATAACACAGTATATCTCATTTATGCCTCACTACAAGCTATTCATTCACAAGTTATTGTTATATACTTACTATGTGCCAGGCACTGTTCTGAGCTCTATTCCCCCTGGGAACTTTCATTCTAATGGGAGGAGTGGGTAGGTTTATCCTGTTGGGTATGAAGAGGTAATTGAGGTCCCAAGATCACCTGATTAATGAGGTACAGAAATGCTGCTGGTCCAAAGAAAAGAGAAATGACATGGATGAGAGGGTAGGGATTCAACAGCCAGTCTGTGAACCCAGAGCTTGGAAATTTTCTATGCTTGGTGAATGAGGGCATCTGGCTTTTAGAGTAAAAGCTTGTGGATGAGAAATATGGTCTTAAGGGAGGACGTGAGGGTGGCACCGGAGGCCTGGCTGACACTACCCCGTCTCAGGGTTGTCACTCCAACCCAAGAGGCCAACATGGGGGCCTCCCTTTCCAGATCAACCAGACATATTTTACCTACTGACATGAAGCAAGATCCAAATTACAAGCTTCTGGTTGGTGGTGGCTGAACTCTACCTTTTACCCAATGCAGTCACAGAGTGGCTAGGAGGACCACTGTCCTGGGGCACTTCCCAGAGAGTGGAATACAGTTTTGGAAGCCACCCTATGAGAAGGCTCTTCCACCCCACCACCCACACAGCGTAGGGTCTGCAGCTGGGGAGAGGGGTGGGAGGTGAAGAAAAGACTAGGGAGAAACCAAGATTATCTTGAAGTTTGGAACTGGGTGGAACCAGAGCAGGTCAGGAGCTAATGGCTGCCTGCAGCACCAAGTGCTCTTTATTTATAGTGAAAGGCAAACAAGGAGAGAAGGCGGGGCAAATAGTGGTACATGGGCTACTCGGCCTAGGCGAAATTTAGCATGCTTGTTTCATGATCAGGGCATGTGCAGGAAAGGAACAGGGAAGGATGCACAATGTAACTGTCTCCTGCAGCTGCGCCATCCAGAGTCTACAATGTGAGTCAAATCTATGGAGGAGAAAGGGGTAGTGAGGGGAAAGGGCCATCTTCAGGCTTGGCCTGTGGCACTTCTGGGATCACGCTGAGGGCAAGGGTCTCTGAGGGGGCGAGGTAGCTGGAATGGGGCAGGGAAGAATGTTAAGGTACCCATCCTGGGCCTCCCACTCCTTGGCTGCCATGGGCTGAGGACCATCCCACAGGCAAGGTTGATGCCCAGCATAGGATAATCTCCATCCCAGCTGGAGAGCACAGGAGACAACAGTAGGGCATCATTGCCTGTTTGGCAAATCAGTATTGGTAAGTCACGGTAGGCACATGGTGTTCTCTGTTTCAACTTACAGTCCCATCCTCACCTTCACCTTTTACCCCCCAACAGCCTGGTTGCCTTTCCACCTGCAAAAGTCTGGACCCCAGCCCTCACCTTCTGCCACTGCAGCCACTTTTGGTCACCAGGGGGCAGCAGCGCAGCATTAATACAACTGAGATGGCAGCCAGGGAAGAGCCTCTGGCCAGTGCTAAGAACCAACAGGGCTAGAGCGCTATCGCTGGTGCCTGCCACCCAGGAATTCTGGGGACAGGCAGTGCAAGGGAGAGAATGTGACTGGGGAGAGAAAAGAAGGCAGAATAAAGAGGGAAGGAGGGGGGCTCGCAGAGCTGGCAGCTACATCATTTCTGCACTCCCCCATCTCTTCCCACCATCCCCAGACCTGTCCTGTCCATCTCTTGGTCTTAGTTTGACTTTCTGGCAACCTTTCAAGTTCCCTCTGACCTCTCACAGGCTGGCTGCTAACCTGCACCCTTCGCTCTCCAAGTATCTAGTTGGTTCCTGCCAGGACACCCCCCCACCCACATTCTCCCCAGAACACTGATGTGATCACTCCGTGTGCACACACACAAATACACACACACACACACACTCGCACCCATTGTGTCAGTTCACGCGGCAGACTTTTCACTCCCTCCGGCTGTATTATAACTGCTTTGACTGTAAAGGATTCTCAACTGCTTAATCACAAGGAGGGGCCACTTTTCATGTGGTTGCTGATTTGGTATTTGACTCCAGGACATGAATCTAAGGACACACCGGGTATCTGAAAGAAGACTGGACATTGGACTAGACACTTTCTCAGAATTCATTACAACCCTCCATCCTGACTTCTCTACACTGGACACTGGGCTCTGTGGACTTGAAGTTTTGAAGTTGGCCGGGTGTGGAGGGAATGGAGGAAAGGAAACAGGAGCTCTGTTACCCAATCCAGGTGATAGAGCACTCCAGGAAAATCCATCAGGAGACTGGGGATACCAGTCAGGCTTTCAGCAGGAAAGATTTAGCATATTCAAACTGGGTAGCCTAGATGATTTAATGAAGAGAATTAAAAAACAAAACAAAACAAAGGCGGTCTGGTATTTGAGGGATCCACACCAAGAACAGTACTAGTCAGAGAAGGGGGGGCAGTGACAGTACCAAGGAATATCTGCCAGTCCCTTTCCTCCCCACCCTGTCCAACACCCAGAGGAGAGAGGGCCCTAGAAGAGGAGTGAGGAGGGTCTCCCAGCATGGGGAGGAGGGGCGAGCACTGGATTAACCTCCACTGAACTTTGTACCCAAAAGTGTCTCAAAGTATTGGAGTTTGCCAAATGTACAGCTAGGAATGGGGGAAAGAAGTTGAACATTACCAAGCAGGCCACATGGGCAGGAAGCACACAAAATAGCACGTTTGTGCCTCACTGGGTCCCACTGCTCAGCAGACTGGGGTAAAAGGCCTCAGTTCCACGTGGCAGATAAAGAAACTGAGTTTGCAGCCACAAAGGTGGTAGTGGTGGACCTGGGCCACCCTAACCCTGCTTGAGCCGCTCTGTGTCCTCAATTCTCCTCCTTTTCCCACTGGGGGTCCCTGAGCCCTGAGGACAGTACAAGCCATAGCCATTGTCTTCCTTCAAGCTGCTATAACAAAATGTCAAATGGGTTGATGGCTCATAAACAACAAACACTTACTTCTCCCAGCTCTGGAGGATGAAAGCCTGAGATCAGGGTGCCCGAGTGCTTGGGCTCTGGTGAAGGCTCTCTTCCTAGTTACAGATGGCCAGCTTCGTGTTATAAGCTCAGGTGATGGAAAGAGGCAAGAGAACTCTCTGGGGTCCCTTTAGGTAACACTAGTTTGGTTCCAAACTGTCCCCCAAAAGTGTGGTAAGGCTTGGTCCCCAGCATGGTGTTATTGAGAGGTGGTGGAAACTTTAAGAGGGGGGACTCATGGGAGGTTTTAGGTCATTGTGGGACCCTGGCCCCTTCCTTTTCTGCTCTTTTTTGCTTTCCTGTCATGAGGTAAATGGTTTTGCACTGATGTACAGTCCCACCAGGATGTCCCATCACAGACCCAATAGACTGAACTTTCTAAAACTGTGAGTCAAAATACCTTTATTTCTTTATAACTTTATTAGCTCAGGAATTTTGTTAACATAAAGCTGACTAACACAGGCACTAATCCCATTCATGAAGGATCCACCCTCCTGACCTAATTACCTTTCCAAGGCCCTACTTCTAATACCACCACTGTGGCAATTAAGATTTCAAATACTAGGGCCAGGGATTTAGCTCAGTGGTTCCGCCACCTGCCTTGCAAATGCAAGGTCCCAAGTTCAATCCCTGGTACCAAAAGAAAGAAAGAAAAAAGATTTAAAATACTGCTGGGCATGGTGACACATGCCTATAATCCCAGCCCTTGAGAGGCTGAGGCAGGAGGATTGCCATAAATTCGAGGCCATCCTGGACTATATAGTGAATTCAAGGCCAGCCTGAGCCACATAGTGAGACCCTGTCTGAAAAAACAAATAAACCAAGATTTTCAAATACTGCTAGGTGTGGTAGTGCACACCTATAATTGCAGAGGTCTGGGAGGCTGAGGCAGGAGGATGGCAAATTCAAGCCTAGCATAGGCAACTCATCAAAATCCTATCTCAAAGTAAAAAAGGGTCTGAGGATGTAGCTCAGCATGAAGGCCCTGGGTTCAATCCCCAGTACTGAAAAAGAAAAGATTTAAATATGAATTTGGGGAAGACTAAAACATTCAGCTTCTAATAGCCACATCTGGTGTGAATGTTCAGGCACCTGTACTGAGCTCGCTGCTCAAAGTCAGAACCCAAGGGAATACCCACCACCTACATCATCAGGCTTCCTCCCAGGATGCCCATCCTGAGCCTTTGAACGGGAGCTCTCAATTCCAGGAGGCACAGACTAGCGCAGAGGCAGCAGGAGCAGGTAGAGAGCCCTGGGCTCAGGCCTGGGCTCCACCCAGATTTCTGTGTGCCCTTGGACAAGGCACAGTCCTCTCCAGGGCTCTAGTCCCACCAAGCATCCAAACAATCTCTGGGGTCCTGCCGGGAGGGAAAACTGATTTGAACAGCTTGTGTCTGTCAGAGTTTTCATCTGCTGTTTCTGGCGGCCTTCAGGAGTTCACAGCTCTAGGAAATGATGACAGGGCGGGGAGGTGGGAACAAGGCAGGGAGTCCTAGGGGATAGGAACAGGGGATATTTTGGGGAAGGCGGATCCCTCACTGCTGGACAATAGTACAGGGCAGTCCTTGTGCTGGGAGTGGAAAATCCTTCTTTTGATTCCTTCTGCAAGGGCTGTAAATAGGCTGAAGTGGAGGGTGGAGCCCCTGGAGACAGGGCTCAAGGCCAATGAGCGGCTGGCCTGCCTGGTTCATTGTTCCTGGCTGGGACAGCCAAGACAGGACACCTGACTTAACTGGAGCTGAGAACCCCAGGGAAGGGAACCCCAGGAAGCCCTTGCTGAAGGGTAGAGCCGCGCATCGAGGTTGGGAATCTGAGGCCAGAGGAAGGAAGTGCCCAACCAAGTCCCACAGTTCATCAGGGCAGAGCAGGATGGAAGTTTGGCTCTGGAACTCAATTTCTGCCCTATTGTTACTGTGGGTGACGGGGTCCCGGGTGGGTTTTTAGGGTCTCATGCACAACAAAGAATTGGATGTGGCACATGAGGGTCATAAAGAAGCAGCAAAGTTTAATTAGGTAAAGGTAAGCTCTCAGACAGAAAGGAAAATACCCTGAGCACTGAATGCACTGGGTTTAACAATTTAAAATGTTGTGCTGGGTTAGGCTGCCTCTCATTAGGTCTTCCAGAGTGTGATTAACAGCATGATTGATAGAGCACTGAGTCGTGTCAGCTGCATCTACTCTGCGTGTCCTTTCCCATGATTCACTGTTACAATTGCATGTATGAGGTGCAGTCCATATGTATGATCCTTTAATGAGCTTCAGGTGAAGAAAGGTTACTATGACACAACAGCAGGTCTGGCACATATGCATCCTGGTGTGGGGTTTTGGAATCTTTCATGAATCTTAGTTATTCTTATCTCTGCCTCTGGGGAAGAGGCCTTAGGACAAAAGTTGGCCCTGGGGCATTGCCCAGGTTCAGGTGAGTGGTCCCATAGCCCCAACTATACTATGTTACCCACACATCCCTCACCCTGCAGCCTAGTCACTCCTGGCTTCACCCACAGAAGCAGAAGCAGCTGACAGTCCACTGTGTGACACTGTGTGGTGGCAGTGGAGTTACTTCACCTCTCTGGCCTCTTGATTCCAGGGAGACCTACCACCCTCACCCTAGTCCTAAGAACCAAGAGTCCAGTGGTCTTAGCAAAGCTTAAGGGAGCAACTGTTAGCTGTGCCTTGAAAGTGTAGACAGCTATGCCTTGATTGAGGGTGGGAGAAGTGGAACAGGGAAACAGGGCCTTCAGGCTTCAAAGGGTAGCCCAGAGAAGGCCTCAGTTCACACAGCAAAAGCTATCTGCTCTGGCCCAGCCTCAGGCCAGTCCTCCCATTCTAGATCTCCAAGCTCTTAGTTGAACCAAGATGTGACTGCAGATTGCCATGCCGGGTACTGCTAGCCATGGATAAATGGCTAAGCCTGCCCCCGCGGATGGGGGAGCTCTGCACCCCATAGGGGGTGATCCTGCCACTTACTATCCTCCTCCTTGTCTTCTCTCCTGCCCCCTGCCCTCTCTGCTGCCATCCAGATGGGCACCAGGAAATACACAGGTCCATGTGCCTGAAAGCCACTCAGTACCAGGTAAGGAAGAGGTGAGCCCCATTCTACCCAGGATGGACCTGCCTCCCCCATCCTACAGCCAGAGGCTCCTGGAGCTGTTAGATCCAGTGTTGCTCAGTGACCAAACATTCTGGGCTCTTCAAAATGTTTATCCCAGTGTGGTGACATATTAAATTATGTCAACTCTGGAAACACACGGCCCCACTGGCTTGCCTTGGTAACCCCTGACACAGTACTAGCATGGAATGCCAGGCATTGTGCTAAGCATTTCCTGTGCATTGAGTCAAGCAAGCCACCCAATGTCCTCTGTGGGAGGCAGCATCTCATCAAATGAGAAAACTGAGGTGCTCCAAGACCAAGTAACTGCATGGCTGGGAAAGTAGAGGTGACCTCCAAACCAAGGTGGTCTTAGCGCAGGATCTGCTCTCAACCTGTCCTCACTACACTGCCACTCTGGTCCTGAGCTGTGGGAAGGGTCCTTGCAGAGCCTCCTGCTCTGCAGGTGTTGAGAGTAGACCACTGCAAAGGGAATTCATCCAGGAAGCCTGGATTCCTCTCTGCTCACCCACCTGCGGCTGTGACACCTAGAGCAAGCCTATGCTACTCAATGCACTTTCCTGTGTCCTCAGCCACTAAGTGGGGAGGATAATGCTTGCTCCCCAGGGTGGGTGTGAAGAACAACATGACATATGAGATTCCTGAGTGGTTTGTGGGACTTGGATCATTGTGTGAGTCCCCTCCTCTATGTGCCTGACTCTAAACAAACAAGCCCAACTCTCTATGACAAAGGTAGCAGAGGGACAGCTGTGGTGGCCTGATCTAGAGCAACTCTGTGTGGGCAGCGTGTTACCTAAGCCTTTTTCTGGCCTCGAAGGGCGAGGGTTTGTGTGTCCTCTGGGATTCTCCCCTCTCTCTTGGCCTTGGGGATCTCTGCTGCCCAGGGAAGAGCATATATGCCAAGGGCACAATGTCACCTGGAGCTCACTGAGGACAGTGCTGCAGAGGCCAGAGAGCTTCATTCACCTACCACTTGACTCTCCTTAGCCTTCTCCCACCCTGCACCATATCCCTGGCCTCAGCTCCATAGCCTTGGAGGATGGAGGCTGGGCAGTGCAGGTGGCACAGGGTTCCCACAAAGGCTCTGACCTGCACTGGAGGGAATGGCACAGCAACAGGAGCAGCCTGGGGCTGTGGTTCATGTCCGGGCACCACAATGACCTTCCCAGTGAGTTGGGTGCGGCCCCGCCCTTCCCTGGCCTTGAGTCTGCAGCTGGCTGGATAATCCCTGGGGTCTTGCCACTATGATTCATGCCTTTTCATAATGGCCTTTAAGAGTCAATAGCCTTAGGAAGTGATGTCAGGGTGAGGAGGTAGGAAGGGGCAAGGGAGGTCCAGAGGGCAATAAGAGATATTTTGAAGATGGGCAGGTCATCCACGTCAGACAATGGTCTAGGGCCAGCAGCGGAAAATCATGGTCTTGCTTGGGCTGAAAATAGCACAAGGCAGCAAGGTCAGGAGCCTCACCCTCTAGACGACCAGGCCAGATGTCCATACTGAAAGGCCAGACAGTCAAGAGCGGGGATCCTGGGCCTGTTCCTGGTTCCCCTGGGTCTTCATTCCCCACTTCCACCCATGCAGGAGGGGTAGGGGAGCAGAACATGAGAGGAATGGGGACTAAGGAACTTGGCCTATGGCAGACATAGCCCACACTCCAACCACAGATGTACACTACAGGGCCCCAAAGTCATGACATAACTCCTGCTTCCAGGTCCCAGAAGGGCTGACAGGGTCAGAGCTCAGCTTTTATATTTCTATGCATGAGAGTTTAACGCTTGGGAAGAGGCTCCCTGTAAATTGGGATGGGGTGCACCCTGAGTAGCAACTGGTATGAAGGAGATAGGCTCGGGCCTGCAGGAAAGACCCAGGACACTCTGTAAGAGGTAGTTGCCAAGAAAGCTCAGAGGGACTCTAGCTACATTAGCAGAAATATAGAGCCCAGAATATCGGAGGTGAGCACCTGACACTCTTCTGGACAGGACACCCAGAATTACATAATGAAGAATAATCATTTGCATTATGGCCTGGGATGAATCCGTCATCTGAGGGAGTTGTGGGACTAGGCTCTATATAGTCACTAGTAGTCTTAGTGACTCAGGAGGCTGAGGCAGGTGGATTATTTGAGCCCAGTAGTTCAAAGCAGCATAGGTAATATAGCAGCCTGGGCAGAACCCTACTTCAAAACAACTACACAAAATGTAAATAGAGCAACCCCTGGGGAATGGATGCCCTGCCTTTGATAAAGCTAAGTGGGAAAGGTGGAGATGCCACGGGAGGTGGGTGGAGGAGGTGAGCTGGGGAAAGAGAGACCTTCTCTAGAGTACAGTGGGCCCACAGGGCCAGGCTCGCCCAGAAGAAGAGAAGTCCCTGTCCTTGAGGTCAAAAGTGAGGCTGGTCAGCTTCATCCTATCCCTGCCCAAAGACCAGGCAGAGTCCTATCCAGCTGAGCTCCATAAATTAGCCCAGAGTGATCCTAGCCAGAGCCAACACTGGCCACAGGTGAGACCACTTCTCCCATGCTAAACCCTGGCCCAGCTGGAATATCAACCATCATGCCTGAAAGTTGAGATTTTCCCAGAAGGCCAAGGCCTGGGTGCAGAGAGGAGCAAGTTTCACTCACACGTACCTCAGCCAAAGGAATCCGTGTAGCCAGGGCAAGGAGGGAGTCTCATCTCTGTACTGAGCCTGGGTAGCTGTCCAGCCTGCTGCTGTCTCTGCTCCCTGGTCCCCTGCTCTTGCTCAGAATGTGTCCTCACCTGGCGTTCTTGTGAGTTGCCTTTCTCAGAAGCCACATCTCAGGATTGCCCCAGTCCAGAAATCCTTCCCTAGGCCCCTGGTCACAGCCCTGAGCTACTCAGCATGACCCAGTGGTACACTGCAGCAATGTGTGCCTGCCTGCAAGAGCCATTTGTTAAGTTTTCAGCAATTCTGCAGAGATGATGTTGCACTGACAATCTGAAATTGGCCGTGGCAGGAATGGCAATAGGCAATACTACAAGTAAGGAGTTCCTCTTCCCACCCCAACCCCGAAGATCCAGTTGAACATTTACCAGTATGTGACTGGTTATCACCTAAACTGGGGAACCTATGGACTAGAAACCCGCCTGAGACATCTCTGCCTCACACAGAAACAGGCACAGAAGCCAAATGACTTCAAAGTGGGGGAAATACCCAGAATCTGGAGCGGGGTTCCTAAGACGACACTCGCCTGAAGCAGCTAGTGGGAAGGCAGGTGGCAGAAGAGAACAGGTTGGAGTAAGGCCTTTGTGTAGATGTGGAAAGCTTCCTAGGCCATGCTCCTACCCTCTGACTGTACAATGCAACACAGCTCAATAAACAGCACAGACTTCAGTATAAGTTACAGTCTCAAACCGGGTCCCAACTCAGGGGAGCCTTCAGATGGGCGTATGGCATCAGCCCCAGGTGTTCAGCTCTTGGGCTGGGGGTACTTCTCTGAGCTGAGTCCACTGTGGCATTCAGTCCCACCCCAGATTCCTGTGGGAACTCAGCCCTGACTACTTACCAGGGTCCTCTGGTCAGCCTGTGACTTTGCCCCCAACTCCAGTTAGCTCAAGCCCAGACTCTGCTATGTGGCCTTGGTAAGTCACTGTCTTCTCTGGGCCTACTTCTCTATCTGACTGGATTAGTTTGGACTCCAGCAGAGGTATGTTGGCAGGAACAGCCAGCTATCTGCATGGGAGTCAGGTGGCACAGGCCCTGAACACTTTCCTTTCTCAAAACCTTATTCCCCACTCATACAAATGATGCCTGGGGGATCTGGGGCTGGGTGCCTTTCTGGACCACAGGGAGGGAGTATCCTCAGCCTCTGCCAATGACAAAACCCCTGATGGTCCATAGCTGGGAACACCATTCCATTTGAATGAGCCCTGGTCCCTACAGCTCCTCCATATTATCTTGCAGAAAGCCAAGGGGCTCAGGTCCTAGAGCCGGATGTCCTTAGTGTTCTCGTGTCCAGCCACTGTGGGCTCTGTCCACTGAGAGTCCACAGTGCTGGCTGACACATCTTTCCTCTGGGCACCAGTTCTGTCAGACCTGTGCAGCCCCAGCCTGCGGCGAGGAGGGGTGGGGTCTGTGGGTGGCTTTGCATCTCTGGCAAAGCGAACAAGCTTCTGCCCCGCCAGGAAATAGAGCACAGGGTCAAGGCAACTATTGGCGCTGGCCAGCGGCCGGGTGATCTTGTATGCCATGTTGATGGCGTTGAGAGTGTGGCAGCTGAGATCAAGTGAGCGGAAGGAGTAGTAAAGGGTGCGGGTGACGTGGAAAGGCAGGAAACAGAGGGCGAAGACAGCCAGCACCAGAGCAATTGTGCGCACCGACTTGCGCTTGGCCCGTGGCAGCCCTCCTGTGGTCCCATAAGCTGGCTTGAGCAGCCGCTGTGCCATGAGCACGTAACAGACCAGGATGGTGGCAAAGGGCACTGCGAAGAGCAGACCCAGCATGACGGAGCTGTAGGCCACAAAGTGGCTGAAGAGGTCAGGGGCTGAGGTGTCGTGGCAGGTGATTCGGGGCCCACGCACACTAGTGGTGACAAAGTAGAGCACAGGTGCCTGGCAGGCCAGCACCAGCACCCAAATGGCCACTGCCACCCGGCGGGCATAGCGGGCCCGGCCCCAGCGCAGGGATCGCAGAGGCCGCAGGACGCCCAGGCACCGATGCACGCTGATGCAGGTGAGGAAGAGGATGCTGCAGTAGAGGTTGGTGTAGAAGAGGAAGCGCACCAGCTTGCAGAGCACTGTGCTGAAGGGCCAGTGGTCGCCGTGGGCATAGTAATACACCAGCAGTGGCAGGGAGGCCGCATACAGGGCATCGGACACAGCCAGGTGGAACATGTATGTGGTGGAGGCATTCCAGCTCTTGAGGCGGCACAGGAAGATGTAGAGTGCCGCGACGTTCAAACACAGCCCCAGCGCACACACCACGCCGTACGACACTGGCAGCAGCACATACTTGAAGTCCTCGTTGAAGCGGCACTTGTAGCCCAACTCATCCCCATCCCAGGTATCATTGCTGGTGTCATTCCAGGGGTCTGGGTCAACAGCCATCACCCTGAAGGGAAGGGGGTAGGAGGGACAGCCAGAGGTCATGGCTAGGGCTGGGTAGGGAGGCCTGATACCCACCTGACCCATGCTCCAAACACCCAGATTCTCCTAACCATATTCAGAGCCTTTGTTGCCATCTCTCCCTGGACCGGGGCCCTCCAAGCCATGGAGCAAGATTGCATGAGGCCCATGAATAGCACAATCATATATGTACTTCTATTATATCAGAATCATATAATATATAATAATATATATGATATGTAACTCTATTACATTGGAGAATATATATATACACACACACACACATACTTCTAAAACTTTGGAACAGGGGCCAAATCCATCCAACCCAGCTGTTTTTGTAAGTAAAGCTTTACTGGAACACAATACCCATCTGTTTAAGGAGTTCAGCAATTGTGATAAAGATCATATGGCCTGTGAATCCTAAATTATTAACTCCTTGACCTTTAAAAACTGTGCTGACCTTGCTCTAGAACCTCAGGACCAGAGAACTTGAGAGCCAGGCTTTGAGCTCTGAAATCAGAGGACCTGAGGGGGTCACACAGGGGTATAACTTCAGATTCCTGGGGAGGAGCCTTTGAGGCCGGCCCATTCCACCGCAAACTAGTGCCCACACCTACTCAGGTGTGTCTAGCTAGGACATCCCAGACTTTCTTCCTTTAGCTTTTGAAGGCCGAAGTTGGGGAAGCTGAAGAATTTCTGTCTCCCTCTTCCATCATTCATTCTCTTAGTTTGTTGCTTTGATTGATTGATTGATTGACTGATTAAAGTATTCCTATATTCTGTCACTTTCTATAACTGCACTCAGCAGTCCCTCCAGCCTGTGAGGTTCCCAGATGGGACAGTGACCTTCCTGAAGTCTCTGGGGAAGTCTGGGGTGGAAGTGAAGATAGGAAGTAGAGGTAGCTTATTTTATGGGGAAAATTTAGGTGTTTCCCCCAGCTACCCAGTTTCTCTTTGCACACCATCACTATCCTAAGGGTCCCTTACCTTGTCCCTAATGAACATATGTCACCCTGTGGGGTCTTACCACCCAGAAGACAGTGAATGCATAGAAGATAGGCTGCCACCTTCCTCCCCTTCCTACCCCAGCTGTGACCAGTAAGAACTCTCTCAGATGGGAGCAGGGGACAAAGATGATGCCCCAAAGGGCACAGATATGTCTCAAAGTCCCCAGGAGGCAGGCTGGAAATCATAGCAGAGGTCCAGGCGGGAGGATCCTCCTGAGTCTCAGATCTCTTGTGGGTAAAATTCCCCACCCCTGGAGAACTCCAGCACCAAACTTCCCTCAGGGAGAAACTATGCCTCAGTGGAGACTGGGTGGGCACTTCCGTCATGCTGTAGGCCCTCACTGTCACCCCACTCTGCTGCTCTGCTCCTGCCCCTGTGCTGAGCTGGCTCCCTCCTCAGGGGTGGGATCATCTTCCAGTCACGGTTCCTGCACAGCTTCTGGGTGGTCACTAATGATGGAATCTCTGACACTGAGAAGAGGGTGGAGACTTCCCTACCTCATGGTGCATCTAGGGAGCTGTCCCTTCCATTTGTTTTAAGACATCCTGGCCTACCCGCATCAGGCCAGCTGGGAACTCCATCACTGTGGCCCTGGTCCAGACTGACCCTGCCCACCCATTCCCTCCACTGGCTGGCTCACCAACCTGTGAGTCATCTTCCTAAGCCCCCAGCCTCTGCTCTTTTTTTTTTTTTTTT